CTGTGTTCCCCATAGGAGCTGCTTAACAGGCTCGACTATAACCCAGCACGTGAAATGTACAATAACATCCGGATGTGGCACCAGGCCCCGCTTCTACCACACTCCAGCAAAAATAAACCTCTCCATCCAAATATAGAGCGGTCAGAAGTGCCATGTTTTACAGGGTAAGAGGCAGTTATTTGGCATTAAAAATAGACAAGCTTTAGCTTCCCTGCAAATCTGGGCAAGGGCACTGCAATTTCCAAATGGAAACCTAGATGGATAGGGGAGGCCCCCCTCCAACTGACTCAGCTACTTAAAAAGCCCACAGTGAAACTTACATCCCCTTTCTGGGCCTCAGTTTACTCATCCATAAAATGAAGAGGTAAAGCAAAACTGATGGGACTTCAAGTTCCCACGATCTATGAGAGTACTAACTGGAGTCCAAAGCTGGCCCTCAGAGAGCTGAAGGTCTCCTAAATCATGGGGACCCTGTGTGCAGATAAGGCGTGACCTTGGCTGTGACCTTGGGCTCACAGCTTTCTGCAGATAGGACCAAAAGTAGTTCTGCCACCGGGGATTTTCAGAATTCTGTCAAGGGCCTTAAATTACCCTTTGGAGTCAGACACATTGTTAAGCCCCAAAGAAAGGTAAGCCAGAAGTCCCCCCTCCAACTAGCATAACTGCTGAGATGCTACCTTGATAAAAGGAAACCAAAGCCCAGCTTGACACCAGAGGGGAGAGCTGAGAAGAGGGTCTGCCAGGGCATTTTCTGTCACCGAGGCTGCCTGCCACCGCTGAGTGCCTTCGCACTTACCCCCTCCCTCATCCTGCAGAAGGCTGGACCCAGATCCAAAGCCAGGTCTGCATCCAGAGCTTCCTCACTCCGCCCCTCCCCCCCACCCCTCCCTGTTTTTCCACCTCATGAGGCCTTCCCTGTGCTGCTTATGGTGAGGTCAGCATGGCCCTTGTCCACTCGCAGAGTCGAAAGGAAGTCCTGACAAAAGCAGGGAGACTGGGGGTAACTCAGGACAAGAGTCTAATTCCCTGACAGATCCCCTTGCATTTTTCCCACACCTTGAAAAAGAAAGACCAGCTCTGCTTTAAATGGTTTTATTAAAAATTGTACCAATTGATGGGGGAAATATACACACACACACACACACACACACACATATATGCATGTGAAGAACATAAAGCCGAATACTCTGTACAGGTTAAAAAACAACGGATCCCCATTCCCCTCCCTCTCTTTCCCTGTCTCTCTCTCAGAGGCAGAGTGCCTAGAACCCAGGACAACTAACCTGGGCTGAGCAAAATGCTACATTCTCACTGGGTCTCCTCCTGCAGCCCCTGTGGACCGAGGGATGGGGCAGCCCACTGGGCAACGCTCACAGAGAAGGGAGAGGCGCTGGCCACTTGTGCAGGCAGCGGGGGCGCGGGGAGGGGGGGGTGCAGGGAGACCCGGAGCCTGTTCTCAGCACCTGTGCCTGCAAGGCTGGTGCATCTATGGAAGAGCTCGGCTTTCTGTGTTCTCCCTCAAAGCTCAAAGTCCCCACCAGCCGATGTGCCCCCTGCCCACAGTGTGCCCACAAGCCTCGAAGGCTGATAAGTTAACCCCTTCCTGGACCGAGTCCAGCCAGGGTTCAGCACCCAGAGGGCCCTGTAGCTTTTTGCAGCCCAGGCTGAACACTGATTCCCAGAAGCCCCGCTGAACCATGAAGCCAGAAGTCTGTTTTTGCTGCTCTCCACTCTCCTTCCCCCCTCTTCATCAAGTCTACCAAACGACACAAGCTTGCCAGCTCTCAGTGTGCTCCTTGCTGACCAGGACAGGCACAGTGGCTCTCCAGCTCCCGGTGGAGGCCCTGGCTGACCATCCCAAACAACCCCCTCCCTGCCATGCCCCGGCTGGAGCCATCCTTGTATGAGGCTGGGCCACCGGGGGCAGTGAGACAAGTCAGCTGGGTCCCTCTGAGCACGCCTGACACGTAAGTTCTGGACACAGACCCACACCCCTCAGGGCTTGGAGAGGTCACTGGGAGGTGATCTTTCACTCCCTTGGACTAAGCAGGAAAAGGCCATGGGGACAGCTCTCCAGCAGCCCAAACTTTGAAGCAGGCAAAGGCAGAGAGGCCAGGTCAGGTCCTCCAACCCACTGAAGGGGTCAGATGTCTGGCCTGGGTGGGGTTTTCTCCCAGTTCTGTCTATCAGCTTCCAGAAACCCCTACTCTAGGGTTTTGAATTAGAAGGGCTATTTTGACCCTGAATATCAGGCTTCCTCCCTCCAGGGCTTTTCTATAATGAAGGGAACATTTCCAGCCCCTCTCCCACCCCTCACCCTCGGCAAACCACAACAATTCCATAAGTCTTCAGCTGGTTACAGGTCAGGAGGCAGGTCAGAGTCTCCCTCCCTCCAAATCTGATTCTCCACCCCCTAACTACACACAGCCATGCTCCTGGGGGTGGGGGGATGGGGAAAGGGGGCCCAGAGGGAGGGATGTGTCTCCTGAGGCTGGACTTGAGGAATGTTCAGACCAACTCAGCAGGCCGAGGGGGAAGGGGCCAGTCTAGATCACTAGGCCAATTAAAAACAGCCAGCCAGGAGGAACCTCTCTCCTTCCTGGGGCTGTTTACCTCCTGGGTGTTTTTTGGGGAAGAGGAAGGAGGGGTTTAAAATTTTGCCCCAGCTTGCTTAGGATAGTGAGCTAGTTCCTGGAGTCACATAAAATGGAGACAGCTAGTCAGACCACCCTCCACCTGGCCCCAGGCTCAATGTTCAGGTGGGCTTGTCAAACTCTGGGCTCAGTTCTCAGGGCAGGCCACAGGACATCCTGCCTGGGCCAGCAAGATCTCTGAAGCTGATGGCTTTGCCTCTCGGCACCTAGAATATTTCTTTGCTCTCTCATTCGGCTTAGGTGGGAAGTCTACTAGGAGGGGTTCAAAGTGGCTGGCAGAAATAATCGTGGTTTTCTTATGTGTGCCACTGGAGCACACATCAGCACCCTGCCCGTCATAGTCTCGGTCCAGGAGACGGGGGAAACGACACATGTCCGATGCACATCATAAAATGGCGTGGAGACACGCAAGAAAGGCTGCATTTCACAATGGTCAGCGTGTCCCAGAGCCGGTCTTCACCTGTTCCCTGGGCTCCTTCTTGTGAGCAGGAACCCATCTTCTTAGCAGACAAACCATGGTACACACCCTGAGAATGGAATTCTAGCCAAGAAGAGGTAATACCTCAGAACATCCAAGCAGAACAAAACAAAGGCTAATGCACAGTTTGAGGTCCTTCGCCTCAGGGCCACTGTGAGCCCATATGGCACCTTCGTGCAAATTAGGAAAGGCACCCCTTCCTCTGAGCAGACATAGCCCGACACCAGGGCATGTAGCCTGGCGGCCAGAGCATGAGCTGGACTTTAGCATCTATTCTCTTCTTCTGCAGGTGCCCTTGTGCGGTGAACAACCTGCCCAACTGCACATCCAGTAGATTAATGCTTCCTTCAACAGTACTGAAGACCTCCTCTCTGTAGAACTGGAGGAGCTTGGACTTGTTTAGAGTTAAGAGTCTACTTGGGCTCTTCCAATTTCCCTGGGGAGCCCTGAGGTCTTCTCTGCCTTTTCTTTGGGCCTTGCTTCACATTAGCACCAATGTTATCTTGTCGTACATATGCAAAAATTATAATTTAATTTCTGCGGTGTCTGGTTAACAGATTCCCCGTGTCTTTCCAGATTCCCCGCATCTACTATCAGAGCTGCTAGACTGGCTGCTTTAAATTCTCTCCATTAGTGCCACAGCAGGGAGAGGAGGGAAGTTCAGAGGCAGCTGTGATCCCACGGAGCTCCAGAGCACGCCCTCCCGGCCTAGCTGGAAGCTGAAGGAAGACAGGAAACGTGTACCCAGCTCTGCCGTTTCCACACTCTAATCATTGTCGGTTACTCTAAAAGACACATTTCAGCTGACAAAGCCACTGTGCTGGCTTCTGCCTGTATCCCACTAGGTGTGAAAAAGGAATGGGGATAAGCGGGAGGAGGTATGTTGTTTCCAAGGAAACCAGGGGGTCTGGGTTCCTCGAGGGCTGACTCCTATTATAGGTGGGATGGCCACCGCATTTCCCAGCCGCACCGTAATCCTGCCCCTTCATGCTCTAGAGTGCTGATCCTGGGGGAGGAAAGCGGTGTGTTGGCTGGCTCTTTTGAAAGAAGAGCTGACGAAGGCACCAGCTGCTGTCTGTGGCATGTTCATTGGCTATGTGGCTCATCCGTGGTTGACGCCCAGCCAGTCCCAGGCAGCTAGAGGTGGCAGAGGTTTGGCACCTCGGGGCCAATCCTGGGGCCCCTGGGCGAGACCAAGTAAGACTTGAGGCCCACCCAGAAGTTTGGTTCATTTTGCGGCATATGTGAGGGGGTCCTTGGAGAAACCCAACCCTCCCTGAGGTCTTGCTGGAGATGACAGGGGCTGGGCGAGAATCCCTGAGCCCTTGGGGCAGGCACTGGCTGGGCCAAAGGAGAACCCAGATACGGGGCTGGCGGACTGGCCTAGTGAAGTTGCTCAGCTGGAAAGCCCCTGGCTGAGGCCCTGGGGGATTGAAGGCAGTGTGACTGTCAGGTCTTGGCCCCGTCCACGTCCATAGTAGAAGGCTGATAGTTTTGGTGCAACCAGGAGTCTAATCCAGTCTCCTAATTTCTTAACCAAGCTCCTATGGGAAAACTACAGTCCACTCGCTGGAGAACATCACTACCTGGTCATCTTCAATGGCTCACTGAAGACTTGACTTGTCAGAGCCCTTGGGAGGTCCCACATCACAGACACATCAGCCTCTACTTCAACAGTGTTTGACAAAGGCCCTCATTCCTGGTGAGGTCCTGAACAGGGAAAGAGGTCTCACTTGGGTACGTCTTATGTACACAGAAACTTTTACAATGCAAACACAAAACAGCAACGAATAAACTTCACAAGACGCGGGCTCAGTCCTCGCTGATGTCCTTCCTGTGGTGCCCCATGCGAGGAGGGCAGCCCAGCCTCACCTGGGACCTGCCCCATTCCTGTTCTCTTCTGCATTCAAAGCCAGGTTGTGTAGGAAGAGGAGAATCTGCCACCACACTCGACGGCGGTTTTGCTGGTGCTGGAAGGCGGTGGGGGGGAAGAAAAAATCAACATAATTCCTAAATGTAGCCTGTAGCCTTGATGACTCCTTATCATTCCCAATAAAAGTGCAGCTCGACAAGTCTGAGGGCAGCACTTTAATCCTATCAGTACAGCAAACCCTTGGGGAGGGGGGATGGAATGGGAGGAGTGGCTGATGAGGAGGGGGAGATAGTTGAGTGCTCCAAAAACAATTGCAGTTTTAACATTAAAAAGAAAAGACCAGGCTCTTTATGCACTGTGCACAAGAGGATTAAACTTTTTCCCCTGCTTGCAGGATTTTCCAGAGTTTAGCCAAGTGCTGCTTTTAATCAGATTGGCTCCTGAGCCCCTCAAACCTCAGCTGCACGAACAACAAACTTTCTTCAGAAAGAAAGAGAAGTGCCCCCTCCCTCCCCCAACTCCAAAGTAACACAGAGAACAAGGGGGAAAAGGGGGGGAGTCTCCATCTGCAAGTGATTTGACACTGTGAAGGTCAAAGGGTTAATCTTCAATTTAAACCACACTGCTGAGGCAGCAAAAATCTGATTTCATCCAGTGCAAACACGCACACACATGGACACATACACACACATACACACACACACACACACACACACACACACACACACTTGTATGCCTGCCCTCTCTCCCTTCCCAGCATCTCCAGCTCAGTGCTGCCCTTTTTATAGCTGCTCTTGACAGTAAGCCATAAATAATCCCTCTTGGAGCGCTTTCCTACTGACTGGAGCCAATTAAACGTTAAGCAAGAACATACTTGAAAACAAAACAAAAACAAAGAATGCACACTACTCTCTGGGGGTTATCCCAGGTCCTACTGTCAGGCAGGGAAGCTGGGGGCAAAGGGCAGGGGTCAGTGGCTCTCAGTATTGCAGCTGGTGCCCCGCCCACACAGGTACCATGTCCCCGGGGGCCAGGGGAGGCCCCAAAGGGACTGGGGTGCTGGAAGAGGCTGTCTTTGTCTGCCAGGCAGGAGGACTGGATGGGGGCCCTCTCCACAGGGTCCTCAGTGGATAGGGGAATAAAAAGCTAGTGTGCAGGAGGAAGCCAGCACGGGCTGGACCTGGATTACTTCAGTGGCCGTGGCAGTGAGCATGTTCGTGTGAAGCGTCAGCAGAGCCGGGGCGCTTCTTAGGCTGTCTTTAATCACTGCCCCGGCCCCTACCAGGCAACTCCTCTCAGATGAAGAGCATAGGGTAAGTCAGTGGCAGAATGGAAAGTGAGCCCAGGTCTCCTGCCCCCTCAGAGCTTCATGGGCACGGCCGGCCCTGGCCTCCGGGACTTTCCCCCGGGGACCCGTGTGGGTTCCAAACAGCGCGGGTTCCGTTCACCCTACCTTAGGCCACAAAGGGAAGGGAGGTGAGATGTCAACTGAGGCCGACCTCAGGGCCCTGCTAAGGTAGGTGAAGAGGACGCCCCCTGTCTAGGGCAACAGCATGCCCCTTTCTCCCAAGGAAGGAAGCCTGGAAAACAACCCAGAAAGTTGGAGTCGCAGTTACTGCCAGGAGGGGAAATTGGGGTGTGCCACAGAGGAGTCCTGGCAGACTGTGCAGGAGAATGATGGCTTCCTTGTGTTTTGTAAACAAAGATGAGTAAAAAGAGGAAACACACCCGGCTTAACAAAATCTGGTTAGAGTAAAGTAGCGTGAAAACGAACTCAGCTGCAAAACCTGAAGACTCTGGCCTGCCTGCGGCAGCTGGGCAGAGCACCCCTCCTCCTGTTTCCCGCCCCCAGCTGCTGCCCAGGACAGGTGCAAAGGTCATTTGGCGGAACAGGAGGAAAATCCAGGAAAACACCGGTCCCCAGAGAGGCCAGTCTGCTGGAATTCCAAGTCTCTTCAGGTGCCTGTTTGAAAAGGCCAAGTAACAATAACAACCACGATCATGACAAGAATAGTAACACTGAATGTACCAGGCTGTGTTCTGAGTGTTTTACGTCCTTGTTTCTCAAAGTGTGGTCCATGGACCAGCAGCCTCAGCATCATCTGGGAGCTTACTAGAAATGCAGACCTACTGAATCAGAACGCGCATTTTTGACAAGATCCCCGGGGGACTTGGAGACACATTAAACTCCTTTGGCCTTCTCAACAACCTTATGAGGTTGCTATATACTCTCATCCCCATTTTACAGATGAGAACATCGAAAGAGTTAGGCAACTTGGCCACGTGGCTAGTCGGTGGCAGGGACTGAACTAAATCCAGACTACCTGGCCCTAGAGCAATGTCCTTACCCATTATCATTAGGTTCTGAGTGCCAGCATATACCTTTCTTTATGCCAAAGCAGACTCTCTCTCCTCCCCTTCTCTAAATCATATCAAAAGAGCTCAATGGCCAAGGAAGGGAGATTACAATTCTATGATTTGGGGCCTAGGCCAATCCCATTTATGTACGCCTCAGTTTCCTCCCAAATTCCCCTAATGGAGGTCACCTGCTGCCTGGGCACCTTCCTGGGGCCTGAGGCATCTGGGGATGAGGCAGTGCAGCATTCTCACTCCCATCATTTGGGGGTGTTGGGAGACCCAGAAACAGCTGTGGGCCAGAGAGCCCTGTCAGAATAGAAGGCTGAGGTCTTGCTGGGTGACACAGGCAGGCCTAGATACAGGAGGCAGGGCACATAGGCCCACCTTCGGAAAGGACCCAGGTCCCATGCTTCTGCCTGTGACAGGCCTCAGGGTACATGAATCAGCAAGGAAGGCACTGGGCGGTGGATGGTCCCTGGGCCAGGAATCAGAGGACCTGGATGTAGGCTGGGATTTCCCACCAGCCTGTCTGTGAGTCCTCACTTCCCTAATAAGTGAAATGCAGGCACGGTTATTAGACCAGTGGTTCCCAAACCTGACTGTCACAGAATCCACTGAGGAGCTGTTATACATACAGAGTCCCAGGGTTCCACCCAGACCAGCTAGTCAGAATCTCCATGGAAGGGGTCCAGGAATTTGTACTTTGAACAAATTCCCTGGGTTGACATTTTTAAAATCAGAAGTAACATTTATTGTATATTTTAGTCATAAAAGTAATACATGTTAACTGTAGAAAAACTGGAACATACAAGACATGAGAGAGGAGAAAATAAAATCACTTGTGATCCTATGGACTAGAAGAAAACACTTCATGACTTAGTATTTTTTTTTTTTTTCGGTCTCCTTCAATCTCTTCCCATCAGAATAAAGACTTGGCCAAGCCAGAGGTAAATCCTTCCCAGGTGGTTCTGAGGCAGCCAGGCCACAGACAGGCATTTGGAAACCACTGAGGTGCTTTCCGACCCTAAGGTCTGTGACGGGAAGTTTGTCATCCACGATTACCTTCAGCTGAGTCAAGCCTGCCTGTTGGAGGGTCTGGGTGGGCTTGGAGACCAGCAAGAGCAGGGCCTAGTAACCGGTGCACAGCCTCAGAAGTCCCTTCTCTGGGCACCAGCAGATGCCACACAAATTCCGCTTGGTCTTCTCTTGTCACAGGACAGCCCCCAAAAGGCCCTTTTCTGAAATGAACCAAGCTGCTTCATACCAAGACTATCAGAGAATCCCCTGGTTATGAGGAACAACAATAAATACAATATTTAAAAAAATTAAACAAAAGGAGAAAAAAAAGGCACGAAGGGAGGCCAGGGAGAGAAATAGTAAGGAGGAAGGAAATTGACATTCACTGAACAGGATGAGGAATACAAAGACACCGAGACACCAGAGAACACGGATCCTTCCAGGAGAAGGTGTGGAGAAGGGCAGAAGGAAGGGAAAGCAAGAAGGAGTAGGCTTGGCCTCTGACTCTCAGGCACTTGGCAGAGCACAGAGCATAGGATCTGAGATCAATGAATGCAACGTCCCATCCCCACCCCAGAGCAAGGCCCAACTCTCCCAAACTCAGCTTGCGCACCCCTCTAAGTCAGGGAACCTGCAAAAAAGCGGGGGTTCTCAGGATACATAGTCAGGGTACCCTCAGGGAGAGGGGGCTGAGGGACAGGGGATGGGATACTGCTGGGAATTTAAGCTTACACCAGAAGCCCTCAAATTCAGAGTTCAGAGGGTAAGACCAAGGCATGGAGGGAAAAAATGGAGGTGAATGGTCCAAGGGAAAGGGTCTCAATATAGTGGATAAAAATATCTTGTCTAGTTAAGACAGCACAGCCAGGCAGTGGAGACCTAGGGTTCTTCTTTGACCCCGGCCTGCTTTCTGGCTGTGGCCGGCAGAGGAAGGCAATCAGCTGACAAGTGTTCAAGTTACCCCCACTGTGCACAAGGTACGGCAAGTGACTGCACAGCCATGCATCCTGTGTACCAGGGAACTCGCAGGGACACACAGTAGGTACTCAACAAGTGCACGCTGGACCAACTACAGAAGAGTCAGCCTCGCAAGATAACCCACTTGTCTGAGGCCAGGAACAACTGATGTCTGGCCAGGTCTAAAGATGTACTTGATGTGATAGTATCAGCCTCTTGCCTGGGGAGAGGCCCAACTAGTAAAAGGCTTTTTTTCTTCTTCTTCTTCTTTTTTTTTTTTTAAAAGAGCTGGCTGTGGTGTCTGACAAGGTTGGATTACACAAATCAAACTCTGTTTCATCCCACGTGGCCTCTGCCCTAAGCACAAAGAGCGTTCCCTCCCCTCCCTGGATAACAATCTCCCTCTGCCTCTCTCCCTCTGGATCCAATTCACACCCTCTGGGGGCTTTGTGTGTCACCGGTGTTCCAGATGCTCTAGCAAAAAGCTAATTTCACCCCAAAGAACAGAGGAAAGAGCAAATCTATGCTGTGGCCCCGCTTGAAAGGAACAGTGGCAATTTACTGAACTGACAGCAGTTTATAATATCTCATACTTAGAGTGCTTTCGTATCTTTCCATTTGCTCTTCACAAAGATCTGGGGACACAGGAAGGACAGGTGTGATCAATCCCACTTTACAGATGGGGAAACAAAGGCTCGGAAACATTACCCTAAGCATAGTCCGTTGGGAGGGGAGGTTATTTGGACCCCTGGCCTCTGGCTCCAG